AATGCACACACACACACACACACATGTTGTCTGACTAGCCTAAACATTACCCGTCATAACACGGTGCACTAAGTCTAAATGATGTAAACCTTTGTGAACGTCAAGTTTCGTTTTAGGTACAGTTTTAAGGCACTTGCAACCCAAATAGAACAAAGAAGTGCTGAAAAAGAATGGAGGTGTTACTAGAGAGTAACAAACAAAGTAAAGAGCAAACCACACCAGACCTGTGTGCAAGCTGCGCACATTAAAGATCCCTTGGGGGGTTTAAAATCAATAAGAGTAGGCTTCAGCTGCCACCTGAGCAAAATTCAAAATTTCCTACCAACTGAAAATGTTTAATGTGTCCCCTGCGCTCATATAACCTTACGCGAGCACTGTAAAACGCTTACCAAAAAACAACAACAACCCCCAGCACCTACCAAACACCCAAAATTGAACTCAAGTCTTCTGGTCTTCTGTAACTGTTGGCAATGATAAAAAGCCCAACCAGAACACCGCAGACATCAAACAATTAACCAATCGAGAGTAAAATGTTGTCAGTCACTCATAAAAAGTCAAACTTAAAACTGTCCCCAAAACGTGGGAAGAAGACGACCGTGAGTGCTCACCTCTGACATCCGAAGGCGATGAGTCTGTACCTGTGGTTGACCGCCACACTGGACGCGTTGCTCACCTCCTGAGCCCACACGCCGTTGGCCGTCTGGGGAATGAAAAAAAAAATCAGCATTTTGCAAGACCATAGTCTTCCAATGACATTTTCGTTCCATGCATTTATAGTTGAGTTATAAAGACAATCCATGCATTTATAGTTGAGTTATAAAGACAATCTTGTAATTAGCATTTGTTGGAGTTAGAGAGACAATCTTGTATTTGCATTTGTTGGAGTTATAAAGACAATCTTGTAATTAGCATTTGTTGGAGTTATAGAGACAATTTTGTAATTTGCATTTGTTGGAGTTAGAGAGACAATTTTGTAATTTGCATTTGTTGGAGTTAGACAATTTTGTATTTGCATTTGTTGGAGTTATAGAGACAATTTTGTAATTTGTATTTGTTGAGTTAAGGTGACAATCTTGTAACTGTTTAAGTTATAGAGGACACTTTTGTAACAGTTTTAGATATGGAGAGGGACCTTTGTTCAGCAGTATAGTAAAATACAGATGAACCTGATCTAATGGCCACCTGTCCAAGACAATCACCTGTACAAACGGCCACTTCTTATTTCCCCCCCCGTACAATGTCCCATATCATAACACTGTCCAAGACAATCACCTGTCTCAGACAACAAGCATTTCTCCTCAACAAGAGGGGGTCGTCTGGGACAATTTTGACTGTGCAGACAGACAGCTAGGACAGAAACGTTAACTAAACCGTTCCTATCAGGGACATCTCAAAGCAGTGTTGCTGTAAGCTGACAAGCAGTTTCACATTTTAAAATAGAGTGATTCTGAAATTTGAATTTGAATTTATTCAAAAACTAGTTACAGTTTCACTATGATTTTTTCACAGAAGTAAAGTTACTAATCAGATTCAGCAAATTAAAAATTTTGGCGCCAAAATGGGGGGGGGAAAAAAAGGGCGTTTTGTCAGATTACAGCAGAATATTGCATACAGACGTAGTTTATTTTTGGTAAACTTTTGAGTTACGTCTGTACACAATACTGCCCGCAAACGGCGAAGAGTCTCACCGTCTTCTCTCCCCTGTTGGATGGCGGGATGACGAAGACAGCGCGGCCAGAGGAGAGCACCATGCTGTAGCCGCCGAGCGTGGGGCTGTACTCCATCTCCACCACGTGGCAGTCCGTGTGCGACAGGCGCGCCGCTGGGGAAGGTCAAGGTCACTTGGGTTTAGTTCAACAAGTTGCGACCTCAATGCTTTCTTGTCGTATCTCCTTTTTTTTTTTTTTTTTTTTTAAAAGTGAAAATGTGACTTCTTCTTAAGCTCACTCTTTGTTATTAACTGCTTTCACTGTCATTAAAAATGGGGACGGTCAAGGTGACTTGGGTTCAGTTTAACGAGTAAGTAAGTGAACGATACGTTCAGTAATTTTAAAGAAGCCGTGCTGTTCCTAGCAGAGTTAACATTTTGTGCTTACTAACCTTACTTTTACTGGTCATGCAACGCTAGAGATAAAAGAGTGTATGATTTATATAACAGAAAATGTACTTTCAGAAAAGAATTAAGAAAAACCAAAAAAACCCAAACTCTTAGCAAGAACACAATCTAAAGTTCTTCGTCAATATTCTATCTTGCTGGGCATAGCATTATAAGGATTCAAAGAGCACTTCACAATAAAAAACAAAAACAAAAAACACACCGAAATATTTATGTTAAGACTTCAACTTCACAAAATGATTGGCTGATTGATTGAAAATGGTTTTTTTAGTTTTAGTAAGAGTTTTACGGCACTTGCTACACAATAAGGTCATATAAGTGCCGAAGATTAGAGGTGTTACAAGAGAGTAACACACACACAAAAAAAGGAGGGGAGAAAAATACGATAGACATTTGATAGGAAAGAAGAAGCGAATGTTCAACAGCACCACTGACAAAATTTAGCTCCTTTCAGAGGAAGGCTGCTTCGACCTGCCTGTCGGGACTGACCTTGGCTGAGCTGCACACAATCTTTACAACATCCCAGCAGACAGATGGATGAATAATAATATGATAATACTACAACCACTACTACTAGTACTAATAGTAATTTTAAAAATAATTATATGATAATAATAATAATAATAATAATAATAATAATACTAATAATAATTTTAAAAATAATTATATGATAATAATAATAATAATAATAATAATAATAGCAGTAATAATAAAAATAACAACATTCATAATAATAAAATAAGAAGAAAAAATAGCATTTGTACAGAGCATGTTCCCGCTCAACAGCAAGCTCCCTGCACTTTACAACCTATATTACTGGACACACTCCATAAACTAACACTCAAGGGAGGCAATCAAACTCCCATCCCATCACACATGACTGACTCGAACAGTACGTGTATATTAAAATACAATAAAACATTATAACAGTACAGCCCAAAGGTGAAGTTTTGGAGACCCTGGAGGAAAAAGTTGCGGGATGAGGAAGACAGGGAGACAGCAGAACACCACGCAATCATTAGGATGCTGGAAATGGGGATAGAGAGGGGAGAAGGAAGAAAGGAACAATTATCAGGAAAGGAAAGATGTCGCCGTAATCAGACAGCCTCTGGAACAATCAGTATGGATACCTTGCGGGCTTTGGTGCTGGGGGGAACTGAGCACTTATGGACCTGTCCGGTGTGCAATGACGTTGTTGCCCAGGACAGTTAATAACAGGAGGTAGTAACTATACAGCAAACTCATGTCCAACTTCACTGGCGTCCGTGGCGTGTGATGGCTAGGCTTTTCACCGTCGCACGGAGAAGACGTACGGAGAAGACGTAAGTTCAATTCTAAATAAAGTGGAGAAAGTTCTTTATCTACCCCCGTCTCCCAGGATGTTGTAACCCACTCAGCCCGGACTAACCCTGACAGGGAAGGTCAAAGGTCAAAGTAGCCCACCTCAGAAATGATCTAAATTGTGCTGATCGGGGTATATAAATAATAACAAACAAACAGGCCCTCCAAGAAAAAACCCAAAACAAAACAAAAAAACAACCCACCAATGAAAAACAAAACAAAACAACCCCCCATCGCCACCCCAAATTACAAAATAAAAACAAACAAACAAAAACAAAAAACCAAAAAAAATCGGCGGCTGACCTCTGAACTGTTGCAGGTCTGTGGAGATGGGGATGTCCTTGAGGTGGAGCGTGGCCTTCTCGTTCTTGTTGCCCGTCCAGCGCAGTCTGTTGAGACAGCCGTCCTCTGTGGCCACCACCAGCTCATCTCTCACCGACAGGAAGCTTTGGGGGGAGGGGGAGAGTTTGTTTTAGTAAGAGTTTTACGCCACTTGCAACATAATAAGGTCAGATAAGTTTTAGTAGAGGTTTTACAGCGCTCGCAACTGCATAAGGTCATATGAGCCCCAGAAGATTAGAGGTGTTACAAGAGAGTAACATACACAAAAAAGGAGGAGGAGAGATAAGGACGACAGATGTTTGATAGGAAAGAAGGAGCAAACCACACCAGAGCACCCGCCAACCACCCACAGACATCAGTCGAGAAGGTAAAAATCACATCACTTAGAACTGACAACGATGATTACTCCAAACAATCATCAGGCAACAAATGGAAAATTCAATTTGCCAAAACTTTTTTTTTTGCCAGTAAATCAAAATAATGTACACACATTATGTTTTACATTTGACACAAACTTCAGGAAAAAATCTTCAAATAATAATTACCGTTCATTTCTATAGGTTCTGATATTGAAAGAGGCACACCAAATGCCCCCCCCCCCCCAACCAAACCAAAACAAAGAAACAAAATGAAAAAAAAATAATAATAAATATAAACAAGAAAACAAACAATCCCCCAAAAACCAAAAACCAAAAACAAAACAAAACAAAATTTTACACAATGGCTACTTTCCCAAACAAGGCTGCATTCCTGTTTATGAACTTTTCATATTTAAAAATAAATAAAAAATGTTCAAGTTTTTTTGGTTTTTTTTACACAAGCAGTGGGCAGTTAATGTGATGCAACTTCTGGAACAGCCTGTTATTCTTTTTCTTTTCCACGAAAACAGACAGGACTGAACCGCCCCCACCCCCTGTCTGCTTTCCACCCGAATCAATCCAGCTCGTAAATTCATCCTGTCACTCCAGCAACTAAAAAGCAGAGTCACAGCCTATCGAAAAGCAATTTAAATATAAGTTATCTTAACAAATACTCTCAGAAGAAAACGAAAGAGTAAATTCCCCCCCCCCCCAACAATATCAAGCAGGAAATGCAAAAAAAACTTCCAACAAGCCCAGACAATCTGTCTGCCCATTCAACCACATGAATAAATTATGCAGCAGCGGTGTGCAATATATTGATCCTCCCTTATTGCGTCTACTGTTCTCATACGAGCAATAGCACTTTCCAGGTCAGACGTTTTTGGCAACTGATCCGCAGCATGAACACACACTGATACATTGCAGACATTTGGGGTGGCGGGGGGAGAATGAAGTGGCTTTGGTTGAATAAATGTAGTTAACAATTTAACAATATTTTTCTGCGACCGACAGAAGGTTCACAAGATTCCAGGGACAGCAGAACTCGGTTCTCAAGATCCAACAACTAGATGTATTGAGAAAAATCAGAACTTAAATCACAATAAATCCCAAACAGCTTTTTCTTGCTTTTTAAAAAAAACCTTCCACATTAGCCCTTCAAATTTTCAGCTTCGTATTGGTACATATAAGATTGGTTTTGTCGTATACGAGACGAAAATCTTACATTGGACAAAAGTAAGAACTTCACTTTTGATCCTCTAAACAAGCTTAATAATTCATTTTATGCAAAATAAAAGGTTGTTCTCAAAACGGTAAACTGACAATTCCAGCGATTTTTCAGTGAACGGATGGAACTGTTACAACCCAACTCCTCCCCCAATTCCCAATTCATCTGACTGTGTGGTCACTTACCAGGAGATGTGTGACTGGAGACTGACGTGGGCTAAGTAGGTCAGTCTTATAGCGGGGACGCTGTCACTGTCTAAGATGCCATTTATGTTGATTTTGGGAGCCACAGGAACTCTTCAGGAAGAAGAAATAAAAAATATATAAATATGACAAAAGGATTATTTAAAACCTCAGACGAGGCTTATTCTTTAGTCTTAGCAAATGTTTTATGGCACTTGCAACACAATAAAGTGATATAAATGCCAAATATAATATTAGAGGTGTTACAAGAGAGTAACAAACATAAAAATGAAGGAGGGGAGATAAGGACGATAGATTTTTTTATAGGAAAGAAGAATCAAACCACACCAGAGCACGCGCCAACCACCCACTTCCTTTAAGTAAGGAGAAGCACATTGGGAAAACAACGGTTGTTAAGCTCAGAGAAAAAAACAACCTAAAGACAGAGAGACAGACAGGCAGAATAAAAGAGAGAAAGAAATTTAAAAAAAAAAAAAAAAAAAAAAGTCCTACTAATGCCGCCCTCCAACCAGCGGATGTTCTTTTTTGGGGGGTTTTAGTAAGAGTTTTACGGCACTTGCAACGCAATAAGGTCATAAAAGTGCCGATCCGATGTACTTACTTCCCTTCCTGCATGACGTAGAGGCAGTGATGGTTGGCCACGGACGTGTCAACCTCCACCTTCAGGAACAGCACGCAGTTGTGCTCCGTCTGGAACAAAGGGGAAAAAAACATGTTTTGGGGTTTTGTTTCACGGCACTTGCGACGCAGTTTTAGTTTTAGTAAGAGTTTTACGGCACTTGCGACACAATTAGGTCATATTAATATAAGTACCAATGATTAGAGGTGTTACATGAAGGAGGATAGATAAGGACGACAGATGGAGTTATGAAATATGTTTTAGAAAGAGTTTTCGGCCACTTGCAACACAATAAGGTCATATAAGTGTCAAAGATTAGAGGTGTTACAAGAGAGTAACAAACACAAAATAGAAGGAGGGGAGATAAGGACCATAGATGTTTGATAGGAAAAAAGGAGAAAACCACACCGGAGCACCCGCCAACCACCCATTTAGAAAGAGTTTTCAGGCACTTGTGACACAATTAGGTCATATAAGTGCCAAACACTAGAGGAGTTACATGAAGAGTCACCTATACAAAAAAGAAGGACAGATACCGACAATAGATGTTTTAGTTTTTTAAAGTTTTAGTAGAGGTTTTACGGCACTCGCAACTGCATAAGGTCATATGAGCGCCAGAAGATTAGAGGTGTTACAAGAGAGTAACAAACATAAAGAAGATGGGGAGATAAGGACGATAGATGTTTGATAGGAAAAAAGGAGCAAACCACACCAGAGCACCTGCCAAACACCCACAATAGATGTTTGATAGGAAAGAAGGAGCAAACCACAGCAGAGCACCTGCCAACCACCCACATAAAACAGGCTGAGAAACCGTCTACATGTTGTTCATACTAAAATTTAACTTTCACCCCAAAAATTTTTTTTTGTTAGATTCACTTTTTGACTACCAAAGAATCTAACCCGTAAAAAACAAAAAAGTAGAAAAGAGAACCCCCCCCCCCCCCCCTCCGACAAAAAAAACCCCAAAACAAACAAAACAACAACAAAAAAACTTAAATGCATAACAAAACACACAATTGAGAAAAAGAAAAGGGGTCGAAGAGAGGCCTTAATCTGTTGTTTATCCAAACTATTTATTTATTTATTACAAAAGAAAAAAAAAAAACTACAAAAAAAATAAAAATCATTTGAAGAAGATAAGATAGGGTAGGAGCACACAGCTGTCAACTATGAGCTAACCATTAGTCATTAGAGTACTCCATTTTGGTTGAAATATCAAGCCTTGACTGATTTATTGACAAAGACTGAAATGATGTCATAAACAGAACAAAAAACAAAACGACACAACTTTTTCATTTCCACCCGATTTATTGACAAAGACTGAAATGATGTCATAAACAGAACAAAAAAACAAAACAAAACCCGCCACAACTTTTACCCTTTCCACCTTCGGTAAAGACGATGATATCAATCACTTATCTTCACTGACCTACATTCGACAACCCACTTGCGTAATCTCGAGAGATTACACTAGAATAGCCCATCATCTGTTCTAAACGGTACACAGTGTGTCTATTTATAGCGGTATGTCACCCACATCTGTGGCCCGGCCACGAACAATTGAACAAACTTCTCAGCAGTATCGACCTACTCCCGGCCCTTATCTGAAACTGAGAATGTTCATTTACGCAAGCTCGTATATATATATTACAACAGTGACCTAGCTGTAGATGACATAGCTCAAGACATAAATCATGGTGAGGCAGCAGCATAATAACAGCCCAATTTCAAGTGGGAGAGGGAACAAAAGTATGAATAACAATGATAAAAAAGAAAGAAAAAGCAGAGCGCCCCTATCACTAGCCACAAAAACAGGGCGATCCCTTTTCCCTCACTTTCATGAATGAAAAAAATCTGGGATGGATTTTACAGATTATTCAGAATTTTGACCATGAATAATAATAATAATAATAATAATAATAATAATAATATAATAAAAATAATAATAACAATTGCATGTATATTGTTCAAATCCCCGTTTTACAGCATTCTCAATAAACTTTACAACTTTTAATTTATTACCCCAGCAGACCCTCTGAGAACACTCAGAAACATTCTCGGCTTCCGCGGAAGCAAACAGTGCAAGCTGCGGATTTCACGTGCTCAAACACTATCAAACTGACAAGATCGTTCACTGTCTATAGCCGGGTACCCATTTCCACCTGGGAGAAGAGAGGAACATTTGTGTAAAATGACTTTCCCAAGGAAACAACATTGGCCCCCTTACAGGATTCGAACCCACAATTTAAATTCAACTAAAAAGATAAAGAAACATTCATGCATTTCTGGGAGGTCAGTGATACTAAACTGTAGAGCATAAAACAAATGCTTATTCTCCATTTTTGACTAAACCAGCCCTGAGCAATGAATGACGAACTCAAAAGTTCAAAATCATTACGCAGGCCACTAAAGGTCATAATATTGATCCCACGGCGGTGCCCCCAAAGTTGGATAAAGTTTTGCACTTTACAAAGGAGCGTGAACTTTAAATGACATTTTACGAACACATTACAAATTGATTAGCATCGGCAGTATATCAAATTATATCTGCTCGGGTACGTCTTAAGATTTACAGACGCAGTATAAGATAAGATAAGATAAGATACATCTTTATGTCCAGATCCTGGCACATTGGTTTGGTGTTTCACCACGTGTACTTACACACACACACACACACACACACATGCACACACACACACACGTACACACACACACACACACGCACACACACACACACACACACATGCGCGCGCACACACATGCACACACACGTAGACTTATAATCACATGCATAATATAAATGAGCAGCAATATAAACAATAATAATCGTAAGCTAGATACACACTCAATATTATTTTGATGCATGCTCTAAGGTCGTAAGTATGCAAAAAGCACTATACACTAAAATAAACCTCCACCAATCCAGTGGTAAACATATTCCCGAACCAGCTGCGTACACTGAGAAAAATACAACTAATATCACCTGGAGTTAAGAGATTAATAAAAAAAAAAAAAGCCTGGTTATCATTGATTTCACATAGCTGGCTCGCCAACTTTGTCAAAACCCAATGAGGGACACCCAACGCTATTATATCAGATTACATAACAAAGAACAAAATTTAATCAAGTGGCTCTGGTTTTGGTGAGCTGGGCTAATATTTCCCTCTCATCTCAAATTCGCCGCTCGCGATTGTCGAATCCGGGACAGTCCTGGTAAATTCTGGACAGTTGGCGAGCCTGGCATAACCAGTGCACATAATGGGACTCTCAGACTGAGGATCGATGATGCTTTTTGTCTGGGGGCTGTTGGTGAGACCAGACTCCAGCCCATTTTGTCACTTGGGGGGGGGGGTGTGAGACGGATAGACAGACAAAAGAAAGGGATAGGAAAGAAGTGGGACCTACCAGTTGTGCCTTGCAACCAAATGGCGAAATGGTACAGCTTTAGTACCATTAGGTTTTTAACGAAGCGGGGCCTCCCCGCGTTTAACGTCCATCTCTGAAAGGACCAAGCCAAATGGGACATTTTGGTAAAGCGATTTTCCCAAGGACACAATGTCGGACCGAGCTGAGGCTCGAACCCCAGAACTCGTAAACGTTTACGGGTACAGTAGCCCCCGTTCTAACCACCCACACCAGGGAACAAGCCAAACCTGAGAGAACAGAGCTGACAGAATAGCTAGCAGTGAGGAACAATGACGGGGGTGAAAAAAGGCGGTCCATCATTTCCAGCAAATATTCTTAGTCTGAAAGGAATGTTAACACTATCCACCCCCGCAGGGCGCAACATTTATCCCCACGGACCAGGGTACTTTACTTTACTTTACTGATCCAGCGGCCATTTGGGTTCTAGCCCTTCGGTCTGTCAATATGGCAAAGAATTGACAGGTTTTAATCAGCTGTGCTTTGTCGCTGTATAGAGTGTTTCCGATGTCTGGGGAGGCAGGTAGGTAGGTGCTACGCAGATCACAAAGTACTGGGCAGTTAAAGAGGTGGTGTGGTACTGTTTCATCCTGGCAGTCACACAACGGGCAGTCGGGTGGGGTATCCTTGCGGATACCAGGGTACAGATATGCGGTACACGCTATATCACACCGCCGCTGATCAGTGTCGTGGGGGCAAAGTGTTAAAGAAACCCTTCAATCATCCCAAGATCGGGAGTATCCTACCGGGACGTTCAACTAGGGCCATCTGCATGACAAGTCCGACATGATACCAACTGAACTAATGGCAAGTAAAACTTCAGTCGGATTTCAGTTTTAGCTAAGAGTTTTACGGCACTTACGACACAAACAGGTCATATAAGTACAGCAGATTAGAGGTGTTACTTGAGAGCAACATAATACAAAAAACAAAAGGAGCAGAGATAAGGACGATGGATGTTTGATAGGAAAGAAGGAGCAAACCCCACACCAGAGCACCCGCCAACCACCCACATAAAACCTTCACTCCCTACTCACCATGATGGCAATGAGTGACGAGTCTGGCTTCCATTCTCCTCTGCGCAGAGTGCCCACCTCCGACAGAAGGTTCTGTGACAAGGTCAAGGTCACCACCTGAACACATGGCTGCGGAGAAAGACAACAACACACAAGGTGAGTGGGGGTAAAGAGAAGTACATCAAAACAGGAACAGTCATGACATTAAGTGCACGGAAAAAAGACAGACAGACAGACAGACAGACTGACAGACGGACAGACGGACAGACAGACAGACATCAACACAGTAACTCATTTAGTGCACGCAAAAAAGACAGACAGACAGACAGACAGACAGACACACAGATAGACAGGCAGACAGACAGACAGACATCAACACAGTAACTCATTTAGTGCACGCAAAAAAGACAGACAGACAGACAGACAGACAGACAGACAGACAGACAGACAGACAGACAGACACACAGACACACAGACAGACAGACAGACAGGCAGACAGACATCAACACAGTAACTCATTTAGTGCATGCAAAAAAGACAAGACAGACAGGCACAGACAAATAGACAGACAGGAACAATAGAGGAAAAGAACAGAAGAAGGATCTACCAGAGCTGGTCCTGTACCAAATCCGTACAAAAGTGTATCAACACAGTTACCGTCATTTAGTGCATGGAAAAAAGACAGACAGACAGACAGGAACAAGAGAGGGTAGTTAGAAGGGGGCTTCTATACCCATAAACGATTACGGGTTCGGGTGTTCGAGACAGATAGACAGGAACAATAGAGCATATATTAGAGGGAAAGAACAGAAGTAGGATCTTTGGGGTTGAGCGCTATATAAATGTCATTTATTATTATTCATTATTATCTACCAGAGCTGGTCTTGTACCACAACCGTACAAAAGCACATCAGAGCTGGTCTCGTACCACATCTGTACAAAAGCACATCAGAGCTGGTCTCGTACCACACCCGTACAAAAGCACATCAGAGCTGGTCTCGTACCACATCCGTACAAAAGCACATCCGCACAGCAACAGTCATTTAGTGCACGGAAAAGGCAAGACAGAAACACTGGCAGTTTTTTAGAAAGTGTTTTGCGGCACTTGCAACACAAATAGGTCAGGTCATATAGGTGCCGCAGATTAGAGGTGTAACTACAGAGTAACATAAAAAAGAAAAGGAGGAGGGGAGATAAGAATGATAGATGTTTGATAGGAAAGAAGGAGCAAACCATACCACAGGACCCACTAACAACCCATTCAGAAAGACACAGACAGGAGCAATAGAGGAAAAGAACAGAAGTAGGACCTACAAAAGCTACCCTCCTACCACATCTGTACAAAAGAGAACATTACAGCACTTAACACTTTGTGGTCCCTTGGTGCAAGAATGCGCCGGCCGGTGAAAATTATCCATTCCAGTCACCTGGAGCAGTTCTGCGCCAGGCCTGAAAAGTCTGTTGCAGTCACTCTCCTGGCTGGGTGACCAGATGGGGGTATGTATTTTGTACTGCTGGTGGGGTGTGACTGCAAAGTGTTACGTTCTGTTTGTTTTCTTTCTTGTTAAATTTAACATCCCTCCCAGTCCCAGTAAAAGTACATTTGGCATTTTGAAAACAAGCACAATGTTCCCTTTGTCTTTATACGGGGACAGGAGAATATCATAGTCATCATCCTTGTGTTGTACATTCCACAGGCCAGCCGCATCTTTCAACAAGCGAGTTTCCCATCAGCCTCTCTGTATCAACTCCACTCGGCTCAACTAGTAAACTTTTGTTTTGTTTCAGTAAGGCGCTCGCAACTGCATAAGGTCAAATGAGCGCGCGAAAAAAAAGTTGGTTCCATTCGCAACAGTTCATTGCACAGCCTGATTCTGGTCAACACCACCACTAAAATGCTGAAATGCAATTAAAATTCGATGTAAATAAATTCATAATTAAAAATAACTTTTTAAATAACTAGTAATCTGGGGTAGTCTGTGCCCTCTATTTCTTTTCAGCGGGTTTCTCAAATCTCAACCTGTCCTTGACAAGGCGTGGCAACCCTGTTGGGTGGGGTAAACCCGCCATTCACAGATACCTCGCTCCCCAGAATTACAAAGTTTTATCTGTTCAGTACCTCGTTTTGTGAAATTTGACGGAAACATATTTAGGTTTCACAAAATGTCAAACTTTTTCGAACGCCATTATTTGAATATTTTGATAACAACTCGGAATAATCTTACAATTTTGATAGAGCAGATAGAACATTTGCATTCTGACCTCATCATGGTCTTAGTAACTCAAAACAGCCAAAAATGTCAGATAGAACTTTGTACCTCTGAGGTAGCGACCAGTCCAGCTGGTGTGGCTGAGCTGTGGCATAATCCCCACCCATAAACCAGACCTGCATCGATGCCCGGGCCTAATCCTACCACGAGGGATTAGTGTCAGAGATAACACAGACGCTGGACCATCCACAGGCTAAGCCCTTAATCTATCTGAGAAAAGGGGTGGATGTCAATAGAAAAGTCCATACAGGGAATCAGGCTTACTCTGCTCACCTCTCAGGCTTCAACAGCACAAAGTCTGCTTCGACTATCAAGGCACCCCGGAAATAGCACGTCACAAGAGTGAGACAAACATACAAAAGAAATGGAGGAAAAATAATGATAGTAAGGATTAGGAAAGAAAAAGCAGCAGTTCCCAGTTGCAGTTCAGGCACAGTTATGAGCGTGACATCGATGAATCCGCCCATTTACAATTCTACAGTGCATAAGAACATGGCTAATGTCCCCCCCCTTTGGGAATGGCCTAAAGACACTTTTTTAACTGCTTGGGCTGAGAGGGATACAAGAGCTCAGCACTCAGCACAAAGACAGAGATACTCAATACAAATTCTCCCCACGTGGGATTTGAACTCGTGCCTCCTCCTACATGCAACAGCAAAGCACCTAATGACTACACCACAGATGCTGCACTAGTCTATAATTACAGACATGCTGATGACTTGTAGTAATGGCAGCTCAGCCCTAAATTTCCAAATTTTCCCCCAAGTGACTGATTGTAAATATTTATATACAAGATGCCCCCATCATCAAATAATTTTGAAAGCAAGCTGCTTCATCCCAGCCTGCTGGAACCAACCCTGGATGAGAGACTTACAACATTGCGGCAAAAAGACAGATTTAGACAATCCATCTGATCATTATTTCCTACAATGTTGAAATACTTTAACCAAACCAAAGATGTTGGGAAGTTTTAGTTTTAGTAGGAGTTTTACGACACTTGCAACACAATAAAGTCATAAAAGTGCTGAAGATTAGAAGTGTTACAAGGAAGTAAAAACACAAAAAGGAAAAAGGAAAGGTAAGGAGGATAGATGTTTGATAGGAAAGAAGGAGCGTACCACACCAGAGCACCTGCCAACCACCCACAGATGCTGATATATTATTCAAGAAAAAGTATTACATACTATTTTATTACGTATTTTTTATTGCGCTCATTCCGTAACCATGTGTAAACGTGCACGTGTGATAAGCAAGTAGGTGTGTGTGTGTGTGTGTGTGTGTGTGTGTGTGTGTGTGTGTGTGTGTGTGCGCGCGAGAGTGTGTGCGTGCACGCTGTGTGCGTGCAAGCATGAATTTTGTTCATACATACATTTATGTTCAGCGCCTAGAGCAGTGTTCCCACGGTAGTGGTGGGCGCTATAGAAATGACCTACATTATTATTGTTATTATATTCATAATAATAATAATAATAATTTTATTATTATTATTATTTTTATTAACCCTTCCAGTGCCAGCCATTTTTGTGCACTCCCTAACCCCAGTCCCAGCCAATACAGCAGTATTTCAGAAAAAGAGGCATTATTTCTAAAAAGTGATGTAGTATCTTTGTAATGTAGCTTTGATAATAACATATACCAATTTTTAAAGATAAATGAACAAGTAATAAGAAAATTAAAGTTTAATCAAGTTTGCTTATTTCGAAAAATGCGCGAATTCGGTACCCCCGAAACTGAGAATACACGCTCTTGGGACGGAGGGAGGTACAAGCGCTGCTGAAAATATACGCGTTTGGGGCTGGAAGGGTTAAGACGAAAGCAAAAGGAGAACAAGGAGCAAGCTAGCCAGAGAGTATAACTTGATCGGGGAGGAGACGTCATCTCAGACAGGTGGTTCTCTTCGACAGTGTCATTATGATAATATTTTTTTTTTTTTTAAAGTGCAAGGGGGAAGTGGGAAGTGGTCATTTCGTCATCTCAGAACTATTTTGTCCAAAGTGCACTCTTTAGTTAGGTATGCGTTGGAAAAAATAGTTTTCAGGAGACGATTTGCAGATGTGATTATCTTGGACAGGTGATCGTGGGAGCAGATTCAACTGAATGTACCAAATTTTTAAAAAACAGAAAGTCATTTACTATACCAGTATACCAAAAATTGTGCATTGACAGTTTTGGGAGAATAGGGAAAAAAGATTTAGTTTACTTTGCTGCGTAAACAGAAACACATCGCCGTGATAATGGATCTGGAGGACTGGGAAAGACAAAGACAAACAGTTTTAGTAATTTAGTTTTAGTAAGAGTTTTATGGCACTTGCAACACAAAATAGGCCATACAAGTGCCAAAGATTAGAGATGTTACAAGAGAGTAATATACATAAAAAAGAAGTAGGAGAGCTTAGGAAGATAAAAGTTTGATAGGACAGAAGGAGCAAACCACACCAGAGCAAAGACAAACAGATGGAAAAAACAGAGGGAGAGAAAATAAGTAGGAACTACCAGTGGTGGCCTCCAACTGACTCATAAAAGAAAGGATCAGTGTGGTTTTAGATCACGCCCAGAGCAAGAAAGTGCAGTTGAACTTGTCTACGACGGTGACCCACAGTCGGGGAGAAAAGTGGCTGTCTTAAGACAGGGTCGTAATCATGTATGCACTGTATGCCCCCCTGCAATTTGAGATTGATTCAGAATGCTATGAGGTCTGCAGGGGTAATAAAATAGATTGTAAAGCAGGTAAAGCTTGCTGTTGAGCGGAAATGTGCACTATACAAATGCTATCTATTAATTATTAATAATGTAAATAACAACAACAGAAAAAAAAACAAAAAGAAAAAAACCCAACCCAATACAAGGTAGGGCTGGGCA